TAGAAACACATATTGACCAAAGCACACATGTTCTGTTATGTTAAAATCAACTCACTGAGGTCTGGTGCTGTGGCTGCTATAAAGTTTCTGGAAAAGACGTGCCAGCTCCAACAGGATGATGACTCCACTGCCATTGGAGTCTGCTCCATATGACAACCACTGTGTGGCAAACAAACACATCCATACATGAGCACACGACAATACTGTCATGTTGACATCTTAAGAAGTAAAGGGTCAAGCAATTTAACAGGTTAGAGCTTAGAAAATTGTTAGCTGTGCTTCTAAATGAGGTGTTTAAGCATCTAACTCACCGGGGCCAGCCCATAGGAGTCGTAGTGGGCGGTGATGACGATGGTGGGTATGTCTTCTCCTGTTCCAGGAAGCACTCCCTGAAATACACATCGCCAGACACATAATGGGGACCAATCACAAGGAAAATGAGAAAAAATTATCCAATATTTCTTTTTTTTGTCACTCACTTTTGTCATATATGCAGCAAAAGCAAAGTATGGAGCTCCACACTCACCTCCAGTGTGACTATAGCATTGTCAGTGATGGCCTTAATGGGGGCGTTGTTGCTCACTAGGATCTGAAAGGCCGTAGCTGTGACCATACTTCGAAGGACTGCCAACAATAAAAATAATTGTTTTCATTTTAGTTTTTCTGTCTGATACAGTGTCTTTCCTTTTTGTTTCCATTTGGGACATTTATCCATTCAGAGCTCACTTTTTTTCTTTTTATCAGTTTCTTGCTATATATGTAAGTTTAAACAGCTCATCCATCCTCCCCACTGTACATGCATATATCCTGTGGCATCTGTTACCTCTGACAAATATGGATGAGGTCCGTGTAGCTGCAGCCTGCTTGACCTCTTCGTACATGTAAAGCAGCTGTTCATCCTCTGGTGCGACATACACCGGCATCAGAGTTTCCTTCTGCAAGGTCTCGCTCTCGCTCACCATAAAAGACTGAAAGGGATAAAAAAAAAACTGTAAAAGAACAACCAGGTGCAGACATGCAGACACTATTTTTCTGCTCATTTCCATAGCTATTGTATAATGTTCTATAACAACACTTCAGCAAGCTGTTACCTAATACCTTGGAGATATTGTGACAGTCGTAAATTACATCCTGAACAGTGTCTGGCAAAAAGTGTTCTCAGCTTGTTACCTGTATTGTGTCATGAGGGATGCTGGAGGTGTTTTTGGGCAGAAGGATCAGTACAGCAGCAGCATTTTGTCTCTGGGCCTCAAAGTATCTTTCTGTTGTGAAGTCTGACACCTTCATGATAACACAGCGGCGGGTCAGCGACGGCTCGTCTGCCGAGCGTGCCTCCGCCACAACAATGGCTCCACGGCAACCTCGGCAGAAGACACAGAGCAAGACAAATCAAACAGAGGCATCAACTCAAGTGTTGTACAAACACGTATTAACTCTAGTTTGACTGCAGTCTCTAAGTGAACACAAACTCAGTCAAGTTCTCTCGATCAAGTATTATATTTAGCTCACACACAAAAAAATGTAATGTAAAAAAAAAAAAAAGTAAACTCCATGTAAATTTCAATTACTGCTCTATTTGTAAATAGCAAAACAAAAATATGACCCTAATTTGAAGTAGTTCATGCTGATAGACCCATTTTTAGTTTAGAATATTGTGTATGTTTTCTCAAGATAAACAGGCGAAAATATACTCTGCTTAAAGTCATAATATATGTTTCTTATGGATTTTCTACAGTAATCCAGTTCAAAAACTGCATCGACTCCTTCTGCCTCATTGAAAAATATTGGATCTATGAACACACAAACATTTGCAAAATCAAAAGTCTATCCACTAGATAGATTTTGTACTTCTCACTGTCAGGAGTAGATCTCTTAAACTCAAATTTAAGGTGAGAAACTTCATTTCACGGAATAATTTAAAAACATAGTGTCAAAGTCTGAACAGTCATCATTCTGCACATTTAAGATCAAATCTGAAAATGAAAAAAACAATTTTAAGTAGAAGCTTTAAATACAAAAGCAATGTGCATACTGTGTACTAGAAAGAACTTTTTACATGTCTTATATTGACACCTCAAAAGTACAAAATGATTTTTTTTTCTGAATCAAAGTACATGTACGTCAAAATGTGTCACGGTACGGCTGATTAGAAGGAGCTGCGTGTGAACTTACCATGCTTCTGTTGTGCCAAGTCGTACTGTTGCATCCTATAGGCGGTGAACTCATAAGAGGAGACGGCAGGAAGAGCAGAGCCGTGCAGACACTGCACGCAGAGCAGCAGCACGGCAGCAGCAACGCTCAGCAACATGATGTCACGTTCGGCTGGGATCTCTCTGCATGAAGGGAGGTTAAAGTTAGGCTTCACACAAGCCCAGAACACCCATCCAGTGTGTTTTCATTACAGACCACAGAGTTGGTGGCAGAACAGACAAGCTGACAACAAACAGGCAAAACACTGTGCAAAATGAAACAGCTTTTTACAGAGATCTTAGTTTTGCACATATTTGTGAATAGTTCATTGAGAACTGGTGGCTGAAGACGAAGCATTCATCTTGTTTTATTCTTGAGAGTACTATAGTCTCAACCAGCCTGGACTTCCAGATGGAGGCGCCTACTGTTCACAAGGTTATTTTAATCCATAATTATGAACGCAACGATGCATTCATTGCATCATTTCGGACACAGAAATGTTCCTCACCTGTCTCCCTGCGCTCCTGTCTCATGAGAATTCCCTCTACGTCTTCCTCAACTTCAGTGTTACTCCAACGTGGACACGCACTACTGTTACCTCCTGGGATCCAAGGCGTCTACGTAAGCCATCATTCACCATCTGCTCCCGAGGGATCAACTCAAGGCTAATCACAAAATGCCCAACCCCCCACCCCTTACACTTACTACTCCTCTATTTCTCCATCCATCTCCCCAACCTGTCTGTTTAGGCCATAATGTCATTCACATCAGTAGGTAATCAGCCATCACCAGCAGAGAGACCGTGTGGGAGGCAGACAAACTGTTTCATCCAGAAGCTATTTGTTTCATCTCCTGCAGAGAAAACAGTTTGAGTCTGAACAAGTGCTGGGCTGGAAAAAAAAAAAAAAAGTAATGGCGGGTATAACACTAAACAAGAAGGGGAAAAAAAAAAGCACAACTGCAAATTACAGAAGCACATGGAACGAGCAGACTTGAGATACCTAATATTTATTTTTTTTTGATATGTTGCACTATACACAGAACTTTAACACTGTTAAAATCTAAATGGAACCAGTTCACAATCGTCATAACAAGCATCTGACAAATAAAAAGCGTCTGTCTGTATATGAAGTATTTCCCATACATGAAAATAAAATGGAAAAAACACACAACTGCAAATAAATAGCTTCTGTTACAACGAATTACTATAAACTCAAGAAGTTAGTGAAGCTATGCCTCAATTTATACATTAGCCACAAGTATTGCACTCAGTATAAGACAACCGTGATGACTTGTGTGCAAATCCATTGGGATGATGTTAACGGTGGAAAAATGCAGCACCGCAGTCGACCACGCAGTCAGTCCCTCCGTGTTTCTGTTAACTAAACACAGCTACCGGTCCAACTAGTAGCTGCACTGGTGACAGTTTTCTACTTTTTTATTATCTACAAACATGGCACCTTCTTATCGTAAATGATCTTTTAACGTGTGTGCACTTTTGTAAATCAAATGTTGCAGAAACAAAAGGCTGTATCGGGGATATCGGTGATAAGAGAAGGGAGATATTTTCTTACTGGGTCACAGAGATGTCTGGGTGGTTTAACCAGTAAAACTAATCAAAAAAAAAGGTTGAAACAAGATTAAAACGATCCTTTTCTCTATCCACGTAGACATTAGTTGTTTTTATGCGATACACACAGTACCATTCATTCATCTATTTGACCAAAGCAAATATTCCTCTTTTGACATCCCATACATAAATGCTTGCAGATCTGGCATTACTGCAAACCAAAAGGAAAAGAAAGAAAAGGAACAACTAAGACTGAGTGCACACTGCATCTCTAATCAGTCTTTGTTGCCGTTTCTATTACACTGAGATTTTCATTATAAAAATGTAAACCTGTTGAAATGCGCAGATTAACAGTTATGACAGATTAATGCAACGTTCCCCCAAAAAACACAGTCACATATCTAAAAAGACACTCACAATGAGACTGTTCTTAGTAGATGTGCACCGTATTTCAAATCCCTTCAACATCAGTCAACAGAACACTGAGAGTAGCCAGCTATTTCTCCCGTAAGCTGAACAGAAGCTTATCAGTTATTTTCAAGAGAAATGTTTTTATGTAGGTGTCACAATCAGGAAGTTTTGCACTTCTCTCTCGTCATTACAGTGTTTTTGGAGAAACTCAGCTTGATCTACTTGGGAGAAAAAATAGCTGATCCCTGCTGAGTTCTGCAAGCGTCTTCAGAGAGATGTAAACAAAGAACATATGATAAAACAGACAGTGTACATTCAGTACTTCTGAACAACAAGGGCAACTTCCTATAGAACTCCATGGAGAACATTGAATGGCATAAAGCATTGACAATCCACAGCTGAGTGTGATGCTACATGTACAGTTCTTGTCGCACATCCGACAAATAAGTTATAGTGTACTTCGGGAGGGAAATGCACACATTTCTAACCTTACAAAAAGGAATTTTAACAAAAAAATGTTTAAAGAAAGGAAAACGTGGAGAACAATCTTATCAAAAAAATAAAATAGAAAGAAAGAAATATGGAATCACTCCATAGACATTCCTTAAAAGCAGGTATGATCAAATTGCACAACTCAGAAAATTCTAATTCTTGCATCCATCTAATAACTCCCTCAAGTGTATGAACTATATTGCAACCTTCACTGGTGGTAGCTACCTTTGCGAAGCATCTCAACCACACTCCTGTGGGGGGCGAACATGAACAAACACACACAAAAGTACACACTAATTCATGAGCTCATTTCTGGCATTATTAGAATGGTTTCTCTAGATCTACCGGTGTTACAGTAGGTGAACCTAAATATGACTAACTTGAAAGCACGTATCTTCTCCTCGGCACAAAGGATGTGGTCGGGGGTCGGTAAAAAGTGATAAATTATCCGCACAGGCTGGTCATCAGGACACAGTGTTAACAGGCAACATGCATTTTTCAGCTTCTTTTTAACTGAATAGAAAACAATGAAGCATTACGACCTCGGTGTAACAGATACAAAAAAAAAATAAAATCTGGATCACTACCTTAGTGTGTAAGCTTTCATGTTTTATCAGCAGCTTGAGGGTTTAGCACTATTTCTCCTGGGCATAATCAGACACACACGTCATTTTCATGTTTGACACGTATTTACACAGGAAGACAAAGCAGACTGGCTGAAAGAAATGAGAAAAGAAAAAAAACAAAAATGGGCACTACAGAGATTCCAATCCCTGTTTGTCCACCGTATACGACCATCAATTATACACCAGTAGAAGAAGCCGACTCCTCGGATGGACCACTGACACAGCAAATGACACCTTGTCAATGTCTCACGCATTTTGGTCGAGTTCCTACCATTTGAATTTGTTGTTTCGCTTCTTCCACAACAACGCACAATCCTCCTTGGCCCTCTTAAACCAGGAAATCCATGAGCATGACATGGAAGTCAAAACGAAGGAGAAGCAAAAGTAACATGTTTTCCTTAGAGGTAATGTTTCTGCCATCAGTCGAGTCCCTGCTGAACCAACAACGCAGAAGTAAGATGCACAGATCCTACCATAGGAGGAACATGCACAGGTACTGTACATATTCAATTTCTCAGGTTCTTTTTTTTTTTCTTTTTTTTTTAGCATTTTATAAACCCTTGATTTTCCCTTTGTGCCTTTGCCAGCCAATTGTTTTTCTTCCTTTGCTGCCACTCTGGTCAGTAGTTGGCCTCAGTGCAGGTGGCGGGCAGGAGATTTTAGGGGGTCGGGGGGGTCGGAGGGGAGGGTGCTACTGGATTTGACAGGCTGTGGAGGGAGCAGCCTGGCAGCACATGCAGGTGGGATTGACTGCTTTAGGGGGGATCAGATCCAGATCCTCATCATCGGGAATCTCATCGAGCCGGTACCCGTCCTTCAGGAGCTGGATGTTCAGGTCCTGGTTGATCTGCTGTAGAAGCCAAAGAAATAACATATCAGAAGAACTTAAAAATACTTTTGCCAATCCTAAGACTAGAAGTGACCCTTTTAGTAAAACTGATTATTTAAAAAAAAAAAAGTATTTGTTACAGAAGTTATTAAAACACAAAAAAAAACAAAAAAACAAAAAAAAAACATTGTGGTCCAGATAAATAATAATAATAAAATCCACACAAAGCAGCAACAGAGTGGAGAACACGCAGGTCATTGATGGTAATGGGTTGAGGCAAGAGGCAAAAACAAATGAAACATATTCGACTCCACAAGGAAGAAATGAAGAGGAACAAATCTTTGTGGGTGAAAAGAAGTATTTGAAGGTGACTGTGACTATGAAAGCTTGGACGAGTCGGGATACTTTTTTTTTTTTTCAATGGGTGCACATACACCTGGCGTGACTGGTGAGACAAAGGAATTGGGTGATCACGTGGCGATGCTTGTGGTTTCACCAAATGATGCTGTGAAACAATATAGTATGTGTATAGATACCTGGTCCCTCAGACATCTCACCTCGGCTGAGGAGTATCCTGATGAGGAGTATCTGGACATGTCAAAGTCATCGTCACTGAAAGACAGGAGACGTTGGCAGTTACACACCAATGATGACAGTCTGCATGATAGTAACGTGTAGATATAGTGATGTGTGAATCTTTAAAGGGGTGGTCAAGCAATTTAGTGTTCCTGTCTTTTATTCTAGTAAGGGTCAAAGGTATGAATGATGGATCCTACATTTGCCATAATACAAATCAGGCTATTGTTTGAAGCTACACAATTTTACATTCTGTGATTTCACTTTGGAACGCAGAATTTCTGCTTTAAACTAGAAAGCCCTTTTTACATATGGAATGTGTAACATGGCTGCTTTAACAATCTGACATGCATGCAATCATTCAGATATCAGGTCACTCTTCCAGTAATGTTCTTCACTGCTTCCTTTAGATATACCCACCACAATGACTGAGACGGCCACGGTACGCACTCAGTATTTGTCATATACATGTGATTAGCCAGTATATAAAGTGATGTTTGATGCAGAATTATGCACTAACAAACAAATTACTAAATGTAAGCTAATACCGGACTTATCAAACTGTCTCGATAATTTACAGTCCCTTCTTTATGATTTCCTAAACATCTAAATTTCCTATATTTTGCCTTTGTCTGATAGTAACCTGTTACTTAACTTTACCATTTAGTAACAAATGAATTAACAGCAGCTTATTAACTATGACTCGATATGTGACAGTTCAGCTATCTGAGGTGAAGAAGAGCACACTGCCTTGTTGTTTGATCCTGACCTGGACCGATCCTGTCACCATGTTAGGGATTATTTAAAATTTAAAGTAATAATGAAGCTTTTGTTCCACACTCGTTTTGTTTTGAAGACACTCATATTCATCCTGCTGCTGTTTCATGCTGCAGGTATTAATAAACTCAGAGGAAAGACACCTACAAGCAGTTGGAAGCAACAAACTAAACTTCAGCTCCTGTTCATCTTTTGTCAAAACTCAGATTAATTACTGGGAAGCCTCAATCATCTGACCTGGTCTGTTTTCATCGCAGTAAAGTTTTGTTTTTGTTGGACATTTAGGTTTGTGATAGATGTGAGATTGTAGGGTAAAGTAGATCAAAGAGCTGTTTTGTGATTCTGGTACATAAATGGCATCTTTTTGGATCAATGCTGGTGCTGAAATGTGAAAAGAGCCTTCCCCAAATTGCTTCACACAACTGAAGTGCTGTTTTGTTGTGTGTTCCCATCCATAACAGCGACTGAGTGCAGTTCAGACTTGTGCCATGTTTAAAGAGTCGCTAGGACTGACCAAGTGAAACTGCAGTCCTCAGAGTGCCCAATGAAACCTGAAGCCGACATGTTCAGGTGACTAATGGCATGTCTGCATGTCTGTAAAAGGCTAAGTCTCTATCAGAGTTATTTAGTCACCAGGTAATGATGACATCATCGGGTTAGACTCAGAAACCCTCCAGAGTCACTCTACAGCAGGGGTGCCCAATCCTGGTCCTCAAGAGCCCCTATCCAGCATGTTTTAGATGTTTCCCTCTTCCAACACACCTGATTCACATGATCAGCTCATCATCAAGCTCTGCAGAAGCCTGATAATAATCCTGATCATTTGAATTAGGTGTGTTGGAAGAGGGAAACATCTAAAACATGCAGGATAGGGGCTCTCGAGGACCAGGATTGGGCAGCCCTGCTCTACAGCCTCAGAGGAAACTATCCAACAAACTTTTACAAGCTGAGCAGTACATTTCATTCCACTTAAAAAACTGCACACACTAGTTAAAAGCTGCATCTCATATTTGAAGTGATTAGTAAACATGAAGTGTTGACATTTACAAGATATTGAACCTCATGCAAGAACAGTTTCATATTCTTATGCTCTTTTTTCCATGACTGGACAAAATTGTTGTAAATCTCTCATTTTAGCCTGATGTGCATCACCTGTTCACGAGGAGGTGCATGTTAAATAGATTTGATCATTAGTATAATCAGAGTCCCCAAATGTGCTACATGAAGCTACATGTTCAGCTTACCAAAGTTTCATTCACAAAAAAATGTTTTTAATGAGTTCTGCTGTTTTGGTTCTCCGTAAACAAGACGACACGTTTAGCAGAGTCAGTAGTGGTACTGGAGGACGAGAAACGATTAGAAATTATTAATAGCACAGCTGCTGTAGCATGAAAAAGAGATGAGAGAATTGTTTCAGCTACATGAATTTGGGATGCTAAACAGCATCTTTCTTAAAGTGGTCCCTGACAGACAACATGATGTGATCATGTGACAGAGACACGAGACCGACAACTTTTACAACCAACAGAAGATGGTGTTACACTGTTGGGTACACAGAGTCTCATTTTGGACAGAGAACTGCAGAAAGTTCCTGAGGCAGCTGGGTGAGAAGAATTTCACTGATAATTACTGATCTGTGTAAGTCTCCTTGCCAAAATATAGCAATAAAAATGATCATAGCTACAGAATCCTCTGAGAATATGTGCAATGACTGTATTGTAATCAAATTCCAAATTCATTCAGACTAAGGTTTTATGATATTATGTCAAAACAATGCTTTTTTTCCCGCCCCCTGCAGTGCAAAGCAGAACGGCTAGTATGACTCGAATAACAGATCTGGAACATTCATCAATTTTTTTTTTATGGGAAAAAAAAATCTAAATACTGGATATTTGGTGAATACCACAACTTGACTGGAACCACTAACACAAGCCACAAAAGAATGAAGTTGTGTGTACAAGTGGTTGCTTGCATGTTGTCTATCGATTTCACACTTTAACAGATAATGTCTTGATTCTTATGGAAATTACTTTGTTAATAATGCGGATGGATGGTTAGACATACTGAAGTACAAATATGCAGTAACATCATGGTTTCTCCCTCCAGTGAGTAATCTGCCTTTCCTTTACTGCAAACAAGCAGAACAAGGAGACATTGTGCAAAGGGTGTGCACATGAGTCTAAATTGTGGACAATAAACAAACGGGTATCCTGTGTCGCAGTGAGTCAGAAAGCTTGTCAGAAAAAGTATATGATGCAATTCATGATGTAAGTTCTGTTGACTACCAGAGAGCTCATTTTACATGAGAGGGTTTGCCTCATGTGGCAGCATATGGGGGGGCAACAGAGGGTGGGACTCATCTGTGTCACATACAGACCTGCTGGTAGCGGGTGGAAGGGAGCGCTCTCTCTCTGAGCTGCTTTTGCCTGTCCAAATCCTCACCCGCTATCCTCTAATCCTGAGCCCTGGGAGAGGCTTTGCCCCTTTTTAGGATCCCTTCTGTTAAGAACTCTCTCAAGTTGCTCTATGGATTAATGTCTCATCATGACAGAGTGGGGCGTATAAAACTACAAGTTAGCCAATTTCCCCTTTTTAAGTCTACTTTTGCTCAAATATCTGTTCTTTCGTGTCTGTGATATTTCAGAGTTACAGCGTTGATACGATGACATGTGCAGGACCTACCTGTCAGTGTCCAGTGCTACCAGAGGCTTCTCATCGGGGCTCTGGTCTAAAGAAGAGTAGCCTTTGTTTGGCACCACCAACCTATAAAAGAGCACAGCACACTTGTGTATTAGAAATGAAAATGCATACAACAAACGTTTTTCACATTTGCAACAAAAATATCACAATTTATTAATACCTGCAAATGTATAAGTCAAGGAACCAAAAGAAAGTATTGCATTTGTCCTAATAAGGGCATTTATTCCCCCCAAAATTGGGAATAATCTGTTGCCTTCAGATTGTAGGCTGTTCTAGATTATCTTTGTGCCTCAGAGATTCTGGGTACAGACCAGTGGGTCGCCTTTCTTATATTTCCACTAATCCACCAGGGAGTGGGATTAAACAGATGAGCCAGTTGTCAATACTGTGGGTTGTACTGGGTTTATGCTCAATGCTTTTGACTCTTTTATCAGCATTCATACTCCCAAACATCCAATTTCCTTTCTCTAAGAAGCCTTGTTGTGCTCTGTTTGTGTTCAGTTGTAACATTAGAAAGTCTGATGGCGTCGCTGGCAGGCTGGCAGCGAATAAAGCCCTCAGAGGTAGCATGCACAGTCCTCGTGTTTTGCATTTCAGTTAGTTGCGGTATTTTGCACTGAATAGGGGAACTGAAGATGCAAAAAACATATTGCTTGTCATGCTAATGAATGCAAAGTGTAACATTTGCGGTTGTGTTGGTCAGAATAACAGAGAAACAAACAGGCAGTGGAAGCTGCTACCTTGTCCTGGCATTCTTCTTCGGTTGTTGATTGACAGGACTTCCCACGGTGCCATTCTTCACTGATCCCTTCCTGGCAAGGTCCCTCTGTTTCTCTGGGCAACCAGAGGAAGTGAGGTCATCAGTAAATACAACAATTAGGCTAAACACATTTACCATAACTAGTAGCGTTATGTGATTTTGCTTCTTGGGAAAAAAAAAATGAACTAAAGTCTTGTTATCCAAATGTAGTGTTTATAGCCCAGTACACACCTTTGTTGTGAGAGCAGCTCACTAAAAGCTATGGATTGTTGACATTGTAATATGGCCTCTAACCAACATGCAGCCATTTCTGGTTGTTGGTTATTTTTGTTTTGATGAAATATTCAGCCAGTGAGTCTTCCTGAGCACATGAATGGATCGACAGATATTACTAAAACATGTAGTGTTTTTACAGGAAGAATACTGGAATTGGATACATACAGATACATCTGATTTTCATAGTTCATACCAAGACCTTTGGATTCACAATCAATGCGTCTTAAAGGATGAAATCTTTTGGCAAAACACAACAGTTTTAAGAGATTGATGGCGTAGTTTTAGGAAACTATTTCTCAGCAAGCTTTTTGGATCACAGTCCTTAAAGAAAAATTAGGAAGCCTAAGTGGAACAGAGGCTTTACCAATGTTGTGACAACAGGAGCTGCTCAGTAATATTCTGACACCACTGACAGTAGAAGTAAATTGCAATGCTGGGAAATATAATTTCACTGAAATGCAAAGTGGTTTTTAAATATGATAAGGCATCAGCTGTTTTTTTATATTTATTTTACCCACGTATGATGCAGTAAAGCAAACCTGCTTACTACAGTATTCCATTGCAGATTTCATGCGCATATTTCCCTGATGGGCTGCAGGCTTTCCATTCTTCGCTGCTTACTGTTAAACCCTTTGATATTGTGAAGTCATGTCATGTATTGATTTGCGGCGTGTTAGTTATGATACCTATTTGGACCTGCAATGGAGAAGGCTTGTAGTTCATGGCCACACTCTCTCCCTTCGTGTCAGGCTCTGCCTCTGAGGTGGAGGATGCTGCTGGGTCCTGGAAACAGAAACACAATGCAGAGCATGTTAGCGCTGAACACTAAGATGTATTTGCTAGGATCTTGTTCAGACAGGGGGACCCAAAGTGTTTTCTAGTGACAAATTCCCTTCACCTTGTACTTCTTCCTTGGGGTATGTGAAACTGAACATAATCCTCTCAACTCACCCCTAAGAATAATGATCAGATCCATCACTAACTAACATAGCCTGGAAAATCAGCTCGCTTTAGAAACTGCTTGCGTTCAAAAACCTGGCAAGATTCCTCTGGCCTACTATAGCTGCCTGGATTGCAGCGTCAATAGGCTTGAGTGTTCGGCCTATGCTGGTGGCTCTGTCTCTTTCATGTGTGAGCCAGTGGTGATGGCATGGGGAGGTGGCCATGGGAGAACAGAGGGGGTTGCTGTTGGAGCCATGGTTTCCCCCAGATTGAGAGAGGGGAGCTGGGCCGCGCTTGGCCTGCTCTGCTCACAGAGCTCCACATTATGTTGATCCTACAGGCCTCTGCTTGTTGCACTCTGAGAGATGAATGAACGCCACCAGGCATTTAGCTTTTAATAACCCGAGCAGAGACACTTACAGTTAAAGTTAGAAATTCATATAGGCTCCGAACAGCACTGTGTATGAGATACAATATGCTAATTGTATAACTATATTTATCAATTTATACTTATTCATGAAAGTGTTGAATGTCTAGAAAACTCATTGCAGGCGTAGGCATGTTTGTGCTTCATAACAACATTTTAAACATTAATAAGTGTCTTTGAAGACTGCATGAATGGATAACAAAATAAATAGGTCTAGGCACAGATATGCCTGAATCTATTTCATCAAAACCTTTTTTATGGTATTACTGAGAAATACTGCACCAATTTAGGCCAATTCCACGAGACCAACAGAGCTTATCCAATCTCACAGGGCCTGATGAAAAATTCATGAGTATTTAGCAGGGACAGTGAAAAGCTTATTTTGCATATCAATTTTTATGTAATGCAATTAAAAACAAACTGCCAACAATACAGTCAGATGAAACAACCATGCGGAGCACGACATGTTCAAACACATGTAGTGTCGGCTTAACCCCCAAGCAAAAATCTAAGTAACACTATTGTCAGACAGAACATGAGACCAATATAGTTTCTTTTTCTTTTCTCAGATGCCACACTTCATCTCCTATCCTCACATTTCTCCAATTTTCACCAAGAACTTTAAATAAATTAGTTCTTTTTTTTTAAATGTCTACCAATGTGGCTAAATCCACCTTCATCAATAGCCTCATCTTCTCCTGGTGATGAAGCATTGTTCACTTCGCTGGAATAATTAATGAGAGCTGCAACAGTGAACACACACACCAGTAGATGTTGACGAATCACAGCACACCGATGAGGTATTCCCACTTTAACAAGCACAAACATTTTCTGTTCTGTGACAGGCACTTCCCTTAGATCATTAGGCTTACCCAGAGGATTTTTTTTTTCTTGTTTCTTCACACTTCTATTCCTCTACAGAAAGATACTATGATGATGTAGGGTCACACTGTCTGTCAAATATATCCCTTTGAAATTTTTCAGCAGAGCTGCCAGTGAATAATGAAAGGGATTCTGTATTAAGCTGCCTGTGACAGAATTTCCTCCAACTTGTTAAAAATAAGACAGCACAATTACTGATAGCAAGTGGCAGGTACCCCATAATAAACAAGTTAAAACTCTTCCTGAAGCATAACAGCTTAGAATACAGTGTATCAGTTGAAAGTTTGGCCTAAAGAAATGTAACTGAAAGTTCCTAAATCTAAAAACAGAAATGAAAATGAATCCCTTTCAGTGGCACTAATCAACGGGATCATACACAGTCGTACATTAAAAACATACATAGAAAAGGCGCTAGTTTCCTGAAAGACCACATTCTGACAGCCACTGACAAATGAATAAGTCGTGACCTGCGACACTTGGGGCGACAGATTGATTTTTATGTATTACAGTAAAGCGTGGCCTCGCACCCCACCCTGACCTTCAACGTGCGTTTACATACACTCACTCACAGTCACATGCACACAAAATGTGTGTGTACACATGCGCGCACATTAGAGAAATGACCACTCTGTGTATGAGTCTCATCAGTCTGTCTTCCTGTTGGCGAATCAGTTTCTGCCTCTGATGATGAAGAGCCACAAGGTTGCTGACGAAGCATAAACACCAAGCGATTTGTAGGATTATACATCATGGCCGCTCACCGGCCAATAGCATTGAGGACTGATACATCAGGCGACTATTAAAACAGTTGACTGCTATCCTTATGCAAGACAATGGCAACTGGGCTACGTATGTTACAATCTCAGTGTGTTACAGGGCAATCTGCCATAAATAGATTTAGTCTACAGTATTCCCTTTCACATTTCCACATGCTGAATAATGTGATGATTTGTGACTTGGAAGGTGTTTGAATACCATGCTTGAGATTTATATCTAATAGTCAACAATTGTAAATGCTCAAAATTCTATATTAAGCTGTTTTATCTGTGTGAAATTGATTCTCCACAGAGAAGCAGGTGCCAAGTGCATTCATACCATTTTGGGACCACAATGATGTTATTAGCATTAAAATGCACTGCCATGTGTGCCACAGCGACCGGGATCTGGGCATGGTCAGATACTGTGCAAATCCAAAGAGGCGGGCTGTGTCAGATAAACTGTAAAATATATGAGGTAACGCTGGAGAGGTCCACAGTGTTGGACTGACACAGGCTCTTATAGTTATATGATGAAAAGGAATAAACTTTATGGTTTAGAGATGGTTTTAAGGCACAATGGGCACTCGATGACACACTGCAGCCATAATCCAAGTATCTCTTGTATTGGATTCATCTCCACACACAAAAAAAAACCCCACTGGATGAAACACGAGTGTAGACTGATCAAATCTTCATGGAGCAAAGCAATTGCTTTTGCATAAAAAAGTAGAGTTTCTGAACCAGTGAAAGTAAGCTTTCCTGTGATTTCTGCCAGAGTTTAGCCTCAAGGGTAGCAGTCCTGGGGAAACATGGATCTGGTATGAACAGTAGAACTTGGAGCTCTGCTTTTGCCTAAACCCCCAAGGCAAACACTTACAAAGGGACAGCTGTTTGAGACTGCCTCGTTTGAAGTGTGGAGAATAAGGCCGGCGTATCAGAATTATCTGTGGCAGTAATGTACTGCTGAAAATAAAGCTCTGCTCAAAACGAAATGTAGAGAATAGGAGCAATGGTTCAGTTATTAACTGGGTGCTATGACGTATCATATCTAACAGAGATTAACAGTGCACCACTGTTGTTGTTATAAGCACAGCAACACATTAATGTCATAACAGGTCTGAGACTTGTCATGTAGTAAACCATGGAAGGACTCTCTGCTCAGGCTAACTGTCATTACAGCTCAGTCTGCAGTACGGGTGTGCACACAGAGCTCCAATTCATCATTTGGGCTCATACAGCACATCCCGACCCAAATACCACGTCACCAAATGACGAAATGTAAAAACAGTGAGCAGATATTGATGTAAACAAGCGCATACTGACGTGGATTTAAAGGATCACGATTTTATCCAAGTGCGTAGTATAATCACTATGATGAAATAAAGTGAAGGCTTGCTTTTTATTAATCCCTGTATCTATTATTTACGCGATCGTTTCTATAGAAAGCAATAGTCGCTGTTCTTTCATCTATAGATGGCCGATTTACACCGATCCCAGAGATCCAGTTTGTCCCAGAGCTACAAATTGCCATCGGTTAGCTCAGGCGCAGATTATGTGACACAGCTGTCACGATGAAGCACATAAGCGAGGCAAAAACACGCCGTTTGCACTCAATAGAGAATGATTTGCATAAGATGTGTTTTTGTCGTTCGTCTCTCACCAAAGGCTGCGTCTCTCCGTTGACTGGAGGCACTTGGAATCTGTCGATTTCTTCCATCATTTTGGCAAAGCGCTATAGAAACGATGCAGGCGTGAAAGATAAACGTTTTGTTTAGCCTAACTATCCCGGTTTATGATGCTCGGTTGTCGGGATCCCTCGTTAATCAGCATGATAGCAGTTCGTTTTCCTCCATCCTGACAGAGGTGACTCGACAGCAAAACAGCAGTACCGCCCCACTTCCGGGTCTATAGAATATTCATGACAAAGCAGCCAATCACAGAGCAGATCACTTGGAAGTGCGTTGTGAACCATATTCACGCATTTCAATTATAGACATTGAGAAACATCATAATCAACATGTATAATTACAGATTTTTTTTTTCATCTAAATAGAAATTATTTCATTGTGCCATACCATTTTTGCCTGAACTACTTCTTTAATATAATTCTATGTTGTCTAATATATATATATATATTTAATAGAAGGAGCAGCATTCTTAGGAATAAAATGTTCACTATTGAGTTTCAGTTTTTTTGCATAAAGTATTCACTAGTTAACAGTTCACAAACAGAAAAAATAGTGTGCTGGGAGCTACTTTGACCGCTACCTGGGGCTTACGGTTGTCTTGGTAACCTGTATACAGCAGCAGGAAACCGTGGCAGACCAAACTCTTCTGCTTTCAGCAATTTGAAAGTGTAACTTTTTAACTCTGTACCGAAAAAATAACCCAGTAAACCTGTTTTAAAAGCGTTAAAACCGGACTCTTGCCGCAATGTCTGTTCGGGACACTAACGTCAGAGCACATGCAAGAAAGGTAATTGTGGGTTCAGTTAAGCTAATGTTAGCTTACGTTAGTAAAGTCAGGACGCACGTCCTAGTCGTTTAATGTTAAGTAAAAGTACGTCTTACTGTAGTGTTAAATGTACTACTGACCACTTGGCTGATGTCGTTATCATTATGCAGGGCTCTAATGTTCAGAAAACACCTGGAGTGAAGTCAACCAAAGCTGCAAATAAAGAAAAGGTAGGTGGCCTTTCGACAAAATTCCAAGAGTTTTAGTAAAAAAAAGTAACTGGAAACAAAAAGAGAAGTCCAGTTTTGTTTTTGTTTTTTCTGAAGACGTTTTACTTCTCATTCAAGGCGCTGGCATAGTTCTAACAGAATGATGGAGACTCCCACATATATACTGCCCCCCAAAAAACCCATGGCTAATGGTACATTTACTACCAACATGCCTCTTGGTGTAAGCAGTTGTGAATATGCCTAATCAGGGATCTCTCATATCATTTGTGTTTTCTGTTCTCAATGCGAACATTGCTGTCCTCAAAGGAGTGTCCACTATCCTTCAGATGCAGGTGGACGGCTGAGTCTGTCCAGAGGAGCTGGTTCTCCTGTGTTGTACCACACTCTTGTGGAGTGGTTGTTCAGTCTTCCCTTGATACAGTTTGCTTTGGACTGCACATACAACATTGTTCAGCTTGTGTGTGTTTTATCTGTGTGGTAAACCAGTTTTTGCCTCTGAGTGTTACCTGAGTCTTAAGTTGCATTGGTTTGTTGTGTTTGGAGAAAATCGTTCAGTTTCTCAGAAAACACGAGCTATTCATAAGGGAGGGCGATGTTGTTGTGCCTGTTCTTTTTTTCTTCTCTGTTTGTATCAAAATTCCAGCCAAAAAAAAAAAAGAATTTAAAAAATCCAACAAACAAAATTGTATAAATAAATAAAATAAAATAAAAAAGATACACTTTTGAATTTTAACATTTGACTGCAGGGGAGAAAAAACATATGTGCAATGACCACATGATGTAGTTTTCTGTTTGTTCAAGATCTCTTCTGTATGTGACGAGACGGATGTGACGGATGAGGAAAAGACTGTGGAGATGGGTGGTGGACGCATCAAAGGCCTTGTTAAGCCTCCAGATCAACTGAAGCTCACTGACATTGTAAGAGAAGGATAATGGTTTTCATTTCTCATGAGAAGAAAATGTCTTTACTGTTGTTCTGCTTCACTTTGTGGTCTTAATAAAATTGTTAGTTATCATTTTATTTCTCTGTATTTGCAATTAACACCTCAGCCAAATTAGTCAGTCACTCATATGCTGGTAATTTCTGCTTTATCTGTATCTGACCAGGAGAAGAAGGAGAAAATCACAAAGGTCCTGACTACACACAACCCAAATGCCCCTAATAATATTGCCCGCTGGAGCTTTAAGGTAAAGATGGTACATCCAGTCAGGTTTGCAAATTCACATCACTGATTTGCGACTTAAGTGTGACTGCAATGCTGAAGCAATGTCAATGAAGGTTCTGTAAATTGGTAATTGAAGAATACAAACATTCTTTCTTCAGTGTCAGACCTTCATATTCACTTGAGAGTAACCTGTTGGGCTGTGTGCTTTCTTTTATTTTAAATGTTTGTTTCACTCCAGTTAAGAAGCAAGTAAAATAAATTTTCTTCTCGTTTGACCACAACCAAATGAAATTTACACATTCTTTGCTTCATATTTTTCACGTTTTTGTTTCTCATTTTTTCTCAGGATCGTTGTTTTAAGCCTTGTGTTGTGGATCACACGATGCATATCTTTGAATTGGAGGTCAACCTCGTGTATAAAAACTCTGAGGAGGGTCGTAAAGAAATGCTCAAGCAGGGTCTCCATGAAGGTAGCTACTGAAATATGCTACAATACTGTTCTGTGTATATAGAGCACACAACCTGTTTGTTATAGATACAAGACCAAGAAAGTCATATTTTCATGACTTGGCAAATGTGTTTTTGAGGCATGAACTGTTAGATTTTCTTCTGTGGTGTAATACACACTTGGTGCCACAAGGTGTCACTTTCAACTTGTGCCATAAAATTCAAGAAAGGTCCATGCATGTAGACATGATGTGTTTGTTTTCTGCACAGTGAAATTAAAGTCACATTTTTCTGTGTGTCCAGATGATGCAACAGTTGACACCGGAGCAGAATCTGATAAGGAGAAAACAGAAACCTCGGTAAAATGTCTTTGATTTAACTACAGTCAAACTGTTGGTTTGCATTTGGCAATATTTTATATTCCATTTAAAACAATATATTGCAAACCTGATCGACATTTAATCGAAAAGTAAATAAGCCAAGAGTTTGGCTTGAACTACAAACCTCTCTTTTTTTGTTTTCCACAGGCTACACCTGTAGAGGATGGAGGGGAGGTGGAGGAAGCTGGAGAGGAGGATAGACCAGACAGCGCGGCTTCCAAAACTGATAAGAAAGAGCCGAAAATTGCAAATGTATTCGCCTGTTCCAGGGCCACCCAGACTCTCGATAATCCACCGAGGGTAGGCAGGAGGAGGAGGATCATAGCCACTGTTCTGCATAATTGTTGAGATATCCTCATGAAAAACACAATGTTGATGGGTATATAATGAAATATTCATAGCCTCAAAAGTTTCAGGGAAGGTATTTTTATTTTCCTGCAGGAAATAAGCTGCCAGATTGAACCTCTTCCACGTAGCAGCTTCTCTGCCTCTGCTAATCAGGTACTGGATTCCTTGACTTGTTTTAAAGATACTTTAAAGCAAGGTTTGCTTTCTCACTGTCATGCGCCAGAGAATATTTGTGCTTACATTGAATGATGATTAACTCTGTTCTCTGTGCAGTGGGAGATCTATGATGCGTATGTGGAAGAGCTGCAGAAACAAGAAAAAAATAAAGAGAAGCAGAAAGCTGTACCGTCAGAAAAAGATGACAAAAGTCAGAAGAAAATGGTGCTGATGGAGGCTCAGGTAAATTGATTTCTGGACGATTTTCCTTCCTGAACTCAGCATGTTAATAATATTTGCATTTTAACACATTGTCATGTAATATTAGTGTTGTTGTCATATATGACATACATTTCCATATCAATGCATTGTTCATGACTCTCAAATCATAGTGTTGTCTTTTTAGAGCTAACAAAATTACTATATATATAAAATATAGCAGTGTTCAATGTATGCTTTTCCATTTAATATTCTGAAGGAAGCTGACTTCAAAAAAGTGAAGAAGGAGGCCAAGAGCTTGGAACGAATGGTCAATCAGAATATCTATGACAAGATAGTACAAGGTATATTTCTATCAAGTGACACAATAGCAAAATACATTCCCATTGGATAATCAAGTAAACACATTATTTTTTCTTTTCTTTTCTTTTAATTTAATTGCCTTCCTTTCATCTCCCTTCAGATTTTGCATACTACGAGGATCCCGCTGATGAGTTCAGGTTCCCAAAGGCCACCCTTCTCCCCTTGTGGAAGTTCAAATATGACCAAGCCAAAAAACTGTCTGTCACTGCCCTCTGCTGGTAGGTTCACACATCAACTCTACTGTTTCCTCAAATTGGTGTATGTCAGTGATTTTATACCCCTTTTATTCCTGCGAGAAATGGAGGATGACTTTTTGAATCATCTGTCCTTAACAGGAATGACAAATGTCCGGATTTGTTTGGTGTGGGAATGGGCTCATGTAAGTACTAAGAATAGCAGGCAATCAGTAGACATCTCTTTCAGTTTAAATTTGATCTAATCTAATCACATTTGTATTTGTCACTTTCTATAAAGAATGTTTTAGGGTGTTTTTTAAACAACATTTGTAATGAGTTTATCTTTGCAAATCTGTTTTCTTGTGTCCTTCGCATGGCCAGATGACTTCTGCAAACAGGGAAGCGGCATGCTTCTCTTCTACACATATAAGAACTGTTCCTTCCCAGAGTACATCTACCCCACCAGTTCTGGTGTCCTGTGCCTCGACATCCACAAGCAGCGTACCTACCTGGTGGCAGTAGGCCTCTATGACGGCTGTGTGGCTGTCTATAACTTGAAGAAGGAGGGAAAGGAGCCTATTTACAAGAGTACAGCAAAGACTGGCAAGCACACAGCCCCTGTCTGGCAGGTTAGAGTAGGGGACCCAGCAGAGATGGATAGAGTAATGGCAGTTTGTAGTGTGTCCGTGTGTGTGTTGTTCAGTCTAATTTCAGCCACTCTACCTTTGCTTACCTTGCTCTCAATTTTGCATTCACATTGAAGTTTTGTCATTTTGAGAAGCTTTAGTTGGGAGTGGAGATGGATTGATAAACTCCTGGGAAGTTTCCAGTGGTTAATTCTGATTTTCTTTACTTTTTTACATTCAGGTGTGCTGGCAGAATGATGACATGGACAACAACCACAATTTCTATTCTGTGTCATCTGATGGCCGAGTTGTGTCCTGGACACTAGTCAGGGTTAGTCAAGGAAATATTTTTTTTTTATTTGGGTGTATCATGTCTCTAACTTGCACTCCCATATGTGGTGAATTAGATTTTCTGTGAGATGTTGATAAGCATGTCTGACTGTGTGTTTGCCTAATTGCAGAATGAGCTGGTTTTTACAGATATTATCCAACTGCCATTGATTGGTGCTGACCCTGAGGAACCAGAACTTGCACAGATGCACCTCATTCGTAAGGTTTTACTCACTTAGATTGCTAGCATATGGATATATAAAAGGCTGTACTCAAAACATTCAACACACTTTACTACTATTATTTATACAAAGTGCCTGACTTTGAGAATGATCCGACATCAATTCAGATTTGCCTTGGCCCAGTATATCAGACTGGTGTCTGTAATAGTGTGCGTCTCATTTAAGCGCTTAATACCTTTTGTTCACAGCTTGTGGTACATCGATGGACTTCCATAAACAGATTGACTATCTGTTCCTAGTTGGCACTCAGGAGGGGAAAATATATGAGGTATGTATTAGGGATTTCACTTTGCTGGTCTTGGCTGTGTGTCACTTTTAATGTTACATTTAGCATGTTGTTGACATGGCCCAAAAAGGCAGTTAAATGTGCAGTGAAGAAGAAAGTGATAACGTAAAGGCTTTGGTTGTAGTACAGATCATATGATGTGGCCAAACCTATAATGCACAGTAGATTATAGGACAGTCATGTAAAGCAACAAATTACAGTATAGATGCAGCATAATCATAAACTTTCAAAGTAACCATATAGTTTTAAAAAATATATTAACATTGATAATTCACTGTTATATTTACTTCTTTATAGTAGTTTAAATGGTCATTATGTTGATTTTCATCAATTGTCTAATTATATGTAATAATAACTATAATAACTTACATTATTCTATTTATCTTAGATTGAATTATTGAGCCTTAGCGACAGTAGTAAGAATTTGAAAATATAGTGAGCAATCATCTGTTTTTATAGTTTCTTAATGTCATTGCCAATTAGATTACCTCCAGCGGTGGGGTTGAGGGACTTAACTTTATCATTGTTTATTTTCAATGTCAGGATTGCCAGTAACACAGGACAGTTGCCTTTATGACCCTGAATTTTAGGTCATTCTGCATCATTTCTTCTCTCTCTTCTTTTCCCTCCCACTCTAATCACACAGAAAAATATAATTCTGCTGTATATGTGTTAAGACAAAGTCAACTGTTAGCGCAAACATTTACTATATATAGTCAGACATGGGAAAGAGTTGGGATCACTTGGGGCACACAGACCCAATGAACAACGCAAATGGAGTGTAAACATCAATCCATCCATCCATCCATTTTCTATACCTTCATTATCCTGTTTAGGCTTACAGAGACGCTGGAGCCTATACCAGCTGACTTAGGGCGAAGGCAGGGTACACCCTGGAAAGGGCACTAGTCTAGCACACAGCAAACACAGATGCACACCCACACTCAAGAAGCACTAGGAGGGATCCCACGCAGAGCGAGTGTGAACAGGTTGCTTTAACATATTGGCAGAGTCAAACAATCTGTGTTTTGTGTCTTCAGTCTTCAATAGCTGATCCAGTCACCATTAACACAAGCCAGTTAGATCATTTCAGCAGAGTGTTGAAACATTCTTCAGTTAATCCGACACATAGAGTATGTCTTTATTGACGCTGTTTGAAAAGATCATGTGTTGTTGTTGATAGTGCAACATTTTCACAGATACTATGCAGTATTATCCAGAAATTACTTAAATATGGAATTACTTAATTCAGTTATTGTATTAATTAAAATGATCTTCTGGCTTGTTCAGTTCACCAGTTCTGGTTGACATTACCAGTAAAATCTGTTCAAGGGTTTTGTGTCAGGACAGCAATGCCACAAAATGCAGATGAATGATCAAGAGGAGACAAACAAGTTTTGAAATTTGATCATATTGTACTGTCACAGCCTTGCCAGGTTTGACCTCAGAGCAAAAAATAAGCTTATGCTAGTTTCGTTGATTAGGATGACTTGAAAATTACTGCAAGATTTTGCTTTTGTTGTTCAGCCAAGCCTCAGACCCAAAATTGTGGTTTTTTTTGTGTGCCATTAGGATCAACTTGGGGCTTTACACTGTTCCTCAGTATCTTGTCTGAAAAATGGAAGCGCGTTTTATTTGTGGTGTACTTACAGATATCCTGCTGGGGTTGCACTCCAGAGGGTGCA